TGGTTGGAGCAGAAACACGACACCGCATATTATCAAAACAAAGAAAAAAACTGTTTTAAAAGGGAGGCTGCTAAAGTGATTGCTTGGAAATATAGTAAGGGCAGTGGAAGAACTGTCGGGGAAATCCAACAATAAGACCCCCCCCCCGTCCCGCGCGAAAAATGATTCATTTATTCGGTTATTCGGATTTTTATAGAAACAGGTACCTAGTTATTCGGTTTTTTGAAAAGCGAATAATGCCCAGGCCTAATATGGATGGAAATTTATGCTCTTCTTAAAATTACATTTTAAAAATTCAGTTTTGTAAAATTATGATATAGGTTTATTTTCTTCGCTTCAGTATATTATTTGTGCAGATTAACAACTGCCAAGTTTTTTTTACTTGATGCTGAAACTGTTTGATGTTTTCAATTTCGGCTTTGGGATCTTTTATTGTAACTTATAACATTCTTAAACCTGACATTTACTATTCGTCTTTGTGACTTGTCCACAGACCGGGGCGGCATCAGCACGACCCTGCTTATCATCATTCTGGCTACTGTCATTGGTGGACTCTTCATGGCCATGGGAATCACATTCCTCTGCTACAGGTCAGCTGGGTTTTTTGTTTTTTTGGGTTAAGTTTGGTGAATGCAGTCTTCTGGAAATTCTTAAAGTGCTTTTGCCATGCAATTATATGGTGTTATTTCTGAAGGAAAGAATAAGGTCCATGTCTTAGGTACAATTAGAATTTTGTGTCAGTGTTGTAACCACTTTCTCAGTGACTTGAGGCCTACAGTGAAGTCTGCTTAAACCAAACACAGTTAATTCAAAATCAGGGGTAAACGGAAAGAAAATCAAATCCAGGCTAAACTGAAAATCCAGCTAAACCAAAGAAAATCCGGAGGTCTCACAAATTTTGCTTTGACGTATTCCATTTTACTTTCATGTGGCAGGTTTCAGTAATGATTTTTCCCCTTTGTCTAAGACGTGGTGTCTTTCTGTGGTCTCACTATGTTCTTTTGTGCAATATGAATAAAAATGAATATGTGGTATGGTTTAGGTATGTAATTGCTGACTGTATGAAATTACTTTGATTGCCTTTAACCCTCATCCTGCGGGAGCCGGGTTTATGTCGCCCGATAAGCCTATTTTGGCACCTCGCCTACATTCTGGTCCCGAATCAGTGTTGCCCCTGGCTCAGCGCACGCGCAGCGCGCATCCTCTTACGTATCATTCGGGTCCCGAGTCGGATCCCCATTCACGCAGGTCAAGTGTGTGTGCGTCAGTCTGCTTGAGTTTGTGTGCATTTGTGGCCTTCTTCTAGAAAAGCTTGCATTGGTTCGTAATCGAGGCATATGTCTCATTCAAAACATGCCAAGTTGGTAGCTCTAGATGTTTGTCCAATGAAATTATAGAAGAAATTGACCCACTTAGACATGAGGAGCTCGAAAGGATAGTCAGGAAACAAGACTTCCATTTTACTATACAAAATATTTCAAATGAGCTTGATTTTGTATGAAATGATACTACCTGATAAGAAATAAGCTTGTTTGATAGTTTTGAATACCATTGTGCAGGTACAAAGAACAATTTGAGTGTATAACATTCGGAAATTGACCTATATTATCCCCTTTCGAACCTCAGGTCATTCATAACAACAAGAGCGTCCAGAAAGGTTATTCGAATAGGCGTAACTACTAGTAATGTCTTATCAGCTTGTGAGAGGGGGTTATTCATGTGTTTGTAACACTTTATAAATAGAAAGCTATGAAAGATAGAGCGTTATTTTCATCATCGGTTAACACACTCCCTCGGTATTCATGGCGAAAACACACGTTTCCCGGCACCCGCGCTGTACACCAAAAGTACACACTGAGTGACCCCGGCGACCTGCCTGGCACGTCCGGCGTAATCGGTTGCTGATAAGATACGCATCTGGGCACAGACGCAGGATAAGAGTTAAGGCATAAAGAATTGTATAAAATTTTTACTCTTTACTTTATTTTTTATTTCATAGGAGACGCAGTCCCTCGAAAAATGTTAAAAATGGCAGCTCTGACAAAGGCAACGAAAAGAACTCAAAACCAAGGTAATTTTGAACTTAAGTAGTTGCATGTTGAAATTATACGACTTTATTAATGCTTGAGCTTAAAAGAACCCTTTTATATTTGGAGTCAATGAAATATGGATGTCTGAATAGAAAAAAATCTTCGTAAATAGTTTTAGTATTGTGAGTAGTGACTATTTCTTTTATCTGACATATTTTAATTTCGGTTTTCATGGCTCTTATTGTGCCTGGAATTACCGAAAAAGATTTGCAATAGATTCACTTGTTGTTAGTTTGAAAACATATGTCTTTGTCATGTTGTAGGCATCTCGTTTTTCAGACAACAGTAATGATGGTGAAGGCATATGTGTTTCTTAGTAAAGTAAAACCTCATGTATTATTATCTTTCCGGAAAATGTAGTTACGAAAAGAACCTGTAAAGTACGCCTTTTTTGACAGTCGAAAAAAAAAATACAACTTTCCTGAAAACTGGGATTTTTGGAGGGATTTCTAACGAAAATGTTCTAGAGTTTATTTGTTTGATGAATTTCAGAAAACGTCGTTGGGGCAGGAAGAAAAAGTGGATGTCCAGCGAGGAAGAGAGTGAGATGAGTGAGCTGCCACCACCTCCAGTGATTGTGATGGACCCCGACAGTGCTATGCCAGAGAAGGGCATCCTGAAAAATTCGTCTGCCCGACTGACCTCCCTTGATCACAGGAACAGCTCAGACTCCAATGGCTGCTCCAATGGAGATCAGGACAGTGTGGGCCCCTACATGTACGACGAAGATGAAGATGCTGAAGCTGAAGAAATCCGAAACATTTTCCGAGACGAGTCGACTGAAAATTTGGACCACCTTCAGGAGTCTGCAAGTTTTGACTTTGTGATTCCTCCTCCTCCTCAGCCCCCTCCTCCGCAGTTTCCACTGCCAGATTATTACCCATCACCTGCTGCCATGCGGAAACCTGGTCAGCTGGATGGAATGGAATATGAGAGTCCCTACGGTTATGGCCACCAGCAACACATACAGCTGCTGCCCCAGCAGCAGGTTCCTACGTGGCGCACAGCCCTACCTCCCCAGACGCTCTCTCCACCACAGTCAAGGATTGTCAAACTACGAAATCTCACCGACTACATGCAGCAAATGAATAAAGCGACCATTGACCTCTCTCCCTCCCCTGATGACCCCCCTACCCACACACTGTCCCCATCTACGTGTACGTCCGAAGACGTTCGCAGCAGCGAGACAGAACCCGACAGAATGTTTGCTCGTACTTCCCACTCTGACCACAGCCCCACATCGGTGACCAGCGGGTCCACCCAGTACACCGGGCGGCCCAGCTTTGGAAACCTCAGCCAGTATATTCTCAAGCGCAACGAAGCCACTACTAAATCAGGTGATTCTAGGGAGGAGGCAGACCAGCACAGTATTCTCGGGAAACATCGCGACTTCTTCCCTCAGAGCTCAGAGCCGAGCAACCATGGCCCGGGCCTCAATCAGTATTTACAACAGCACAATGACCTGAATGTTTTCAAGCCAAAGATGGCCCCCACCCGAGATGAACACCCCTCTGTGGACATGCCCCCTCCCATGAACCCCATCAACATCCGGACAATATTTGGCCTGGGTCATACGCCGGGGTCAACAGCCAGCAGAGATAGCAACAACACACCACATGGGAGCGTGAATGGGGATAACTCTTCCTTTACGGGCACTGGCAACTCGAAGAATGGTTACGAGAAAAGTTCAGGCTACGGCAGCGAGCAGGACCCGGAGAGGTTCAGCATTGATGAGGCTTCGCGCTCCGACTCGCACTCTCGCTCTGAGTCGCTGTCTCGTTCTCACTCTGCCTCGCCACCGAGCTACAGCGCTGTCATCCGTACTGGGCCCAACAGGATTCAGCTGGTCCCGGCTGGCCAGCTGGTGGAAGACGGTAAGGAGATTGAGGGTATTCAGCAGGAGCTCAACCGGTTACTGGAGAACCTCCCTCGCATCAATGCCGGCTCGTTTGAGAGATCTCCACTGCATTCTAGCGCTATGCCGAGCACTCCTCTCGCGGGACCTTTATCGGGGAGCCGGCAGCTTAAGGACGATGGTGGAGACAGTGGCACCCCCTGCATAGACCGCAGCCTTGAGGAGATTCCAGCACATTTCACAGACAAGGCATGGACCGGTAAAGCCAGGCGCCCCATAAGTGTGGCAGTGCAGGGTAAAAGTGAGAACACGCCCTCTGGAGAAGCAAGCTCAGAGGAACTGCAGTCACTCCTCATCGACAGTGGTGGCAAACAGTCGTGAGCTCCCATATTCTCTTGGCCTCTCTTATGTCGACAGAATGTGGATTTGGCCCTAGGATTGTGAGTGTTGTTATTAGCTGAAGTGGAGAAAAAGATTGGTTGATTCCTTTATTCGAGTTCCCTGATCAAGGTTGCGAATTGTTTACATGAAAATGGCCTTGCAGGAATTATGACGTGAACATGTGAATAGGAATGGAAAGAATGTTTACAGATTTACTTGAAAGATTTGATGACAGTGAGGCACTGATGGATCGGTGGATATTTCTCTTGTATTTCCCTTTTGTCTGTCTCGTACTTCATTTCAATTGTTTGTTTTGCTATTTTTATGTCTCTCCGAAATTGTTAAATTGTTGACAGAAAGTTGTGAGTTTGTGTGTTGTTAATATGCCCTGATTTTTAAGGCGTTATTGCGGATCTGTGCGCTGAATATAAGTGTATGTTATGTCTTTTTAAGGTTTTGTTTAAAAGGATGAGGGTAGAAAGTTTTGATGTTTTTAAAATTCGTATAATAGCACTTTTTCTGAATAAGACCAAGTATGTAGCATTAGTTGATAACATACTGAGGAGCCAAATAATCAAGTGTGTTGCCATAGGCAGAAGAAATAGGTTGAAACCATTCATTGTCAGGATGGAGGGGTGGGGGAGACGAGTCTCAATGACAGAGAGGACCTATGTTTGCCCTTAAAAAATAGCTTTTAATTGATGACTTAAAATTATGTTCTTCCTTCACTATGGTAATTTCCTCAAAATTTTTTGTCGTTTTGTGCAAAATTTATGTGAATCCATCACTATTTTATCACATTCTTCAATGGAGAATTTATGCTGTAGAACAATTATCAAAATGAATAGTGGTCGCCAGAACGGTCTCGAATGTCAGTACAAAGTAATGTGGTTCCTGTATGTATTCATGTGAAGACTTGGTCGGTCGGTTTTTTAATTCTTCTTTATGTAGAGGGACTAAGTGCAATATTGATGTTCAAATCACCTTTATTTGTCTAGGTCTAATGCAACATAGTTGTGGTTTATTTTTTCTTTCTGACTTTTTCCTATCTGAGTCAGAAGTGAACTGATGATGTTTAAGTTGATGAAATACAATTTATAAATGTATGGTTTATGTAATATACACATATTTTAAATATATATACAAACATATCTTTATATATTGCAGATGTAGATGATTTTGATATGTTGGATGTGGCGATCAAGTCTCTTACTCGCTAAATTCAAACATGTATTTAGATTACATTATGTCATTTTCATGCACTTATCCTGGTGCTCTCTTACATTAAGATGGTGCAAAAGTTCTGGCCTTTACCAGAGTATGATGCAGGTTGTAATTGCTGGACTTTTCCGGTGCTGTCAGCCACTTGGTCTTGACCAGGGTCCCAACAGGGTCGATCACACAGTGATATTTTTGCATTTCTGTTACAGGATTGCCTGATCACTGTGTTTGTGGTTTTAGCTGTTTCGCTACCTTCCCTAAAGGATTTGTACTTACATCTTTATTTAACTTACATCTTTGTCAAGAGTTCTGACTCCTTACCGGAAAAAAGAATCCTTTATGGTGCCACTTCAAGAACTGCTTGCTCGTGACATTGTTTCTTCCAATAACCAGGTTTAGGAGTTTTCTGCTGTTAGTGATGTTCCATATCGAAAAAAAATAGTAGTACAGTAAGGTGGTGAAACCGTTGAAAGCTCAGTTATGATAAGTGAACTTTTGTATGTATATTTTCTCAGGCACCTGGCTTGTCGTTCCAGATACGTTTCTGTGCAGATGACTTATTTCTTGTCAGGTTTATGCCAGGACGCCTGAATCATGGCTTCCATGAGATATGGATGTTTGAACAGCTGAGATATACTTCTAGTCATCTTTATGGAACTGCATTTAATCTGAACTCTCTATAGTTTACACTTTTGCCCTGAAGAGCTCACTGATACGCATTATTACTTATGAAATGAGCTTCGGGTCGTTTTTCTTATGCACCTGCAAACAGAACAATGTTGTGTGATGAAGAATTACTTTTACTTACTGGGTTTTTGTTTTGTTTTGTTTGGGTTTCATTGTTACCAGCACAAATGGTCATTAAGCGATTCGACATAGCCAAAGCTCTCTCATCAGGTTGATGTTTTAACTTTTGAAATACTTTCATGTTATAATGAGACTTATATTCCACATGTTTTGTCTCCTCTTCCCCCCCCCCCCCCCCCCCCCCCCCCCTTTTTTTTTTCTTGCTTTACTTACACTGTTTCAGGTTTTTTGACTTTATCAGAGAAATGTTGTGGATGTTAAATAATTAATGAGGAGGTGTGCATAGAACATCAAGTGGAGGAAAAATGAAACTTGCTTTCTTTTGCGCTTTGTTGTAGTGCTTAGGAGGGATGAAGTACAAAAATTGTTGGTCATTTTTTAATGTACACCTTTTGCGCTTTTAAAAATAAACATTTCGATTTGCTTCCAGTAAATGTGTTGGCATCGTTGTGCTGGGTATTATACGTACATTTTGACCACCATGTTTTCTTTCCGGCATTCTTCCCATCTCTTACCACCTGACCCAGTGCCCTGCCTTCTTGATGATGTGTCTTGTCTACAAGGATACAAAGCTCAAACTGAACTAAATCAGACAGAAGAGAAATGCTTTTGAGAATGTTCTTACAATGTACAAAACACCATAGTAGCTTTAAATTGTAGCTGTCGTATCCAGCTGAGGTGTTATTTTCTGTGTCTCAAGCTTCGGATTGGCTGGTTGTACGGTGATGCTTTGTCTCAGATTTTGATGAAAGGATTGTACGAAAAAAACATAAGTTGTCACCATAGAGTCAAGTGCTCAAGCGAGAAAAGGTATAAAATGTTTGATGTAAGGTGCGGCAGGTCTTTTAACCTGAGAAGTTTGTTTTATTGGAGTCTCTGTGTCTGTAACTGAAACATTTTATTATATTTTGACACAAGATGACCCTTGTATCCTTTTGCATATCATTTTTTTGGGGTACATTTTATGTCTAAAGGGTTTTTGATAATGAGATAGTTTAGAAATTGTTTGCAACCATAGGGGAAATATTATTTAATACCATATTGGTGAAATAATACTTTCTTTGATAAGTCACATCTATCAAAATAATCAGTTGCTTCAGTTGCTAGCCATTGGTGACATTTAGTCTGTATTGATATTTTCATTCAGTTCAGTACCTTTTAGCATAATTGAAGCTTTGACGATCTTAAAAGTCAGTATCATTGTGTGGATTGGCGTATGATTGGTTGTAATGACTTCAAAGACTTGCCTTTATCCCTTCCAACTTTTTCTCCTTTATTATCATATCATGAACACTGCCAGTGTTTTAATGTCTTTTAAATATTAAGGTGCTATTTATTCTGAAAGAACATGTGTTGTCATTCTATTTGGTTCATGATTGTGCTTATTTTATCGCCTTATTTTTCTGTAATGTTGAAAGATGAATGAAAAAAATGAAAGGTTTTGTTATGCATAATTTAGGTAAAAGTTTCATAACTATATATTTCTACTTATACTGGAGTGCCAGTAATTCTTTTTTGCTGTTCCGCCCCCTCTGACTTCTTTTTGCATTGAGTAAATATCTACCTTTGCTGAATTGAAGTTGTCATATTCTTCAAACTACATGTATGATGCTGTTTCTTGGCACATGTCTAGGTTTGAGCTGAATAAAATTCCTGTTGTAAATGACTTGTAAAGAAAATGGCTTTTGATGTTATGCTCGTCGTTCTGCTTTTATATACTTTCTTTTTCTCTTCTTAACCTGCCTGCTCCATGTCTCCCTCTCTCCCTTCATTTCTCTCTCTCTCCCTCTCTCTAGCTTAGCAGCTGACTAGGATGTAAATATATATGTGTGTTTTGTATGTTATAATGATCAAGGACATATCATGTTTTAAAATTGCAGGAATATTTTGTTTTTCTGCCGATCCAATTTGCAAAATGTTTGAATTTTTAAATTTTGACCTTCAAATTTATTTTCATCTACTAAATTATTGACTGTTTTGTATTTTTATGTCCTCTTGACTGACACTGATGGTTGTTCTCTTCGTCCTTACTTTTTTCAAGCCCAAGGGATCCTTTCTCAAAACTTTCCCTGGGAATCTCCCACCAGTTTTGATCTTTATACAAGTACAAGTGTGAGTTACAACAGAATTGCATTTAATTAAGGTTGCAGTTTTGCCAAAACTTTTTCTTATTCGTTTACTCACTTCTATTTCTATTAAATATTCGATGAAGTATTATGAGCCACCTCTCAAAACATCTGCTCATCTATAAATAGTCTTCATTTTCATTGATGATTCACAAATATAATAACAGGAAGTAAAACACCGGTTTCCTTTCATAATTGGACCTGCGCTCAAAATCAAAAGATTTTGCTTCTTTTGAGGTTCATCCACCATCGTTCTCTGTACAAGCAGAAGCCTTTTGTATTTCCTCCTAGTTGTTTGAGTGTGTCGATCCCTTCCTCATGTTGTCTCGTTGTACACCATGGTGTCATTTTAGAATCTTGACAGTAGAATCAGTATTAGAACCCACCCAGCTCACTGACCTGTATTTGTAGATGTACTCTGTTTTGATTCAACATTATTATTTTTTCAAGAGCCACCTTCTTGATGTATTGTTAGTTACTGTATGTGTTCTCCTCTTCATTGATGTTCTATAATGTGAACTTGTGCCAGAAAAGAGACGTCTGATTTTCATCTTCACTGTGGTGGTGAACCATTTGTGTCTTATTGCATGGATGATTTGTGGCAGCATGAAATACTTGGAACTGAACAATTTTTAATTTGTCCTTTGTCATATCCAGACTTCTCTTTAACAAAAGAAACATATAATGATCTATCAGATAGAGAGTATGTTTTGCCATGAAAGCAAAAAGGAATACTTAAAGCTTGGTTTTATTGTATTAAATTTAAATATGCTGTCACAATCAGAACCCTTCTGTCTGTAACATTTTTGTGCTGTATATTATGACTAAAAGAGGTGATGTGCTGGATAATGAAGAGTGAGAAGAAAAAGTGGACAAGTGGAGAATGAAAAACTGCAACAACAACAAAATTTAATAAAAGCCCAGTGTAATTGGGAAGTCTCTATAACATGCAATCTACTGGCATAAACATCAGTAGCAGAGCTACAGTGAGTGTAGATTTTTACTCACACCTTCATTTTGTTAGCATGGGAAAGAAGGTATACAGATATATTTGTGTCCAAATAATGATGAATTAATGTATCTGACTGTTTGAGTCTTAATGTTTAAGATTTTGTTATTTTTTATCAACAACTTTTCAGACATTTATGTTTTGGATCTGACTCTCTATAGTGTTATCTTGTTTTTGTACAGAGTTTAATCAGAGGAAAGATCTCAGCAAATCATGTCAGCTAAGGCAAGCAAAGGAAGAACCCTGCTTAAAAGATATGGAGGGAAAAACAATGGAAAGAAAGATGTGTGCATATCTTTGTGTGCAACGGTGCTTTGTGTTCACTTGACTGTTCTTGCCCGATTTTTCTTCCTGTTTTTGCTTTGCCCAAGCATAGCAATGGCTCTGCGCCTAAGCATATCAGTGGATTTGTAAATGGTCAGTGGAGTGAAAAATAAAGTACTACCTTATTTTCAAGGAGACAAATGTTACATTGTACTTCTACTTATGTACGTTAGCTCCTCTGATAGTCATACACCGTCCTGTTGGTGCAGAAAAAAGTTGCATAGGTTTCATCCTCAGAGTTCTGTACTTTTGAAGATTTTTTTTGATTTTGTATTATAATTTCTGTTTGTGGAAGTATTTCTGTCTTCTGTAGTGGGTGGTTGGAGGATGTCAACAGTAAATAGGTTCAACTTCTTTTCTTTCATTCTTTTGTTTCTATCTGTCTGTCTTACTGTTTCCCTGTACACTGTGACAGTTATTGTGTTGGTGTGCATTTCTTAACTATAAAAAAAAATTATCTCCCCCGCCACCCCCCACCCCAGCACAATCCTAAGTAGGGGGTCAGACATCTAATTTGGAAAGGAACCAAGTAAGTTTTGTTACTCTTTCTTAAAGTTACGCTGATTATTATGAACATGACACTTAACAAAATTTTTGAAGTTGATACTAATAATATTATGATAGAAGTGATTTTTGCAGGGAGACAAATTCTCAAGGAAATTATGGATCTTATGTTAAAGAGTGAACAAGTTTACATTATGTTGTGATGATGATGGCAGTTATGAGGTCCAAATTCTTTGAAAAATACCTCTTTTGTTCTGGAATTAATTTTTTATTTTTTGTTATGTATCATGTATATATATATTATGCAAACACTGCAATTTTTCAAATGCCTTGAATTGCTTGCAATGTTGCATAAACAAAAAAATTGTGTTTGATTTTTGTGAGCACATCTTGCCCCATTTTTCTTTTTTTTTTTCTTTTTTTCTGAGCGGTACTATTTATGGCTGAGTTTTATGTGTGCAGAATGGATCTTGATATTGTACCTTTACTTTGGAACATTTTTTGGATATAAAGATGACTTTTGATTTATTTTAAATAAATGTACTTACAAGTTTAGTTGTGTGGTCTTGCTCTTTTTTCTGTGTTTGGTCTTTGAAAACCTCAAATTAGCAATGAAAACTATTACATATTTATTTTATAAATTTCTGTAAGTATGTAAATATTTCTCGTGGGTGGTTGGCGGGTGCTCTAGTGTGGTTTTGGTCCTTCTTTCCTTTCAAACATCTCTTGTCCTTATCTCACCTCCTTCTTTTTGTGTTTGTTACTCTCTTGTAACACATAATCTATTCTTCAGCTCTTATATGACCTTATTGTGTTGCAAGTGCCGTAAAACTCTTACTAAAACCAAACTATTTCTCTCTATATACGATATTTGATATACGCTGGGACCTGCTCAAATGACCACCTGTCAGTGATAATGGCCTGTACAAATGACCACCTCCCGCTTCCCCGTAGTTTTTTTTCCTAGTATTTCAATGCCACTGCTCAAGATGTCCACCTGTCTAAGACAATAAGTTTTTCTCTCGACACTTTAGGCCATTCCCAAAGGGGGGGAATATATCTCGTTCATGTACAGTAGAATTGTAAATGGGCTGATTCATCGTGTCTCGCTCGTAACTGTGCCCGATCTGCAACAGGGAACTGCTGCTTTTTCTTTCCTAATCCTTACTATTGTCATTTTCTTCTACTTCTTTTGTATGTTTGTCACTCTCTTGTGACCTCCTATTTCCGGGGTGCCTAGATAGTCGAAGCAGACTTTGTGCTGTTGAAGCTAGAGAGGTGAGCAAAGTCTGATTCCCTGTAAAGACTTTTCTGTTGACACCCACCCCTTGGCGTTCATATGACCTTATGCAGTTGCGAACGCCGTAAAACCCTCTACTAAAAAAAACCCAAACAAACAAACTTTGTGGCGGTCTTGGACAAGTTTGACTACATACAAAAGCCTGTGGTGTAATGGTGCGGCTCTCTGCAGTGCACGCAAAAGACTTTAGTTCAATTCCTTTGTGGGGAAAGATTTTATGTAATTGACAATTTCTGTTTTTCTGCCTGGATTTAGTATATCATGTGGCTGCGCTGACACAGTGTTTGATCGTTCCACTTCTTCGAGGTTGCAAGGCAAGAGATGTAAAATGTAAAGCTGCCCCCCCCCCCCCCCCAACCCTCCCTCTCCACCTCTCCTCTGTCCCCCCTCCCCCTCCTTTCTCTCTGACAATCTTTCTGTAGCCCTTCTCAGTCTGTGCAACATGTACGTGTGGTTGTTATGTTCTGTGTGTGGTCTGCTCTGTCCACTTCTTTTTTGTGTTACCATGTCATATTTTTCTTTTTACAAAATATGGTTGCTATCGTCCGACTCGTAAAACACAACCCAACAAACCAACGTCTGTGGTGCAGTGGTTAGACACTTTGCCATTGCACGTGGAAGACCTCAATTAGGTTCCTGTGTAGGGAGAACTTTTATTTCGTATCTCGGACCTACTTCTGGGACGTTGCATCCCTCTCAGCCTGGATGAATCCTGACAGGCAGGGTCAAAGCCCGCCTACTAAATGATTGAAATTGTGTCGATTGGGGCGTAAAAAACCCAGATAATTTTAAAAAATCAACCCAGCACCTGTGAATTTCTCTGCGTGACCATGTTTTTTCTTGCCTATTTGTCTACTCTATCTGTCTTTCTATCTATCTATCTATCTATCTATCTATCTATCTATCTGTCTCT